AAAAAAAAAAGATTTGTTTTTATTTATTGGTGTTCTGTATGCATGTGTGTCTCTGTGAGGATGTTGGCTCCCCTGGAGATAGAGTTACAGACAGTTGTAAGCTGCCATGTAGATACTGGGAATTGAACCGAGGTCCTCTGGAAAAACAGCCAGTGCTCTTAACCACCACTGAGTCATCTCTCTAGCCCTGAGGCCATTATCTTAAAGAATAAGCTTTGGGTTAATCCGTTTTCCTAGGACCAGTTCTGTCTGCTAAATTCACTGACCTATTTTCAGAGATACTCACTGATATCTTCTAAAAATCATGGCTCAGTGGTTAAGAGCACCGGCTGCTCTTTCAGAGGACCTGAGTTCTAGTCCCAGCACCTGCATGGTGGCTCACAACCATCTATAGTGGGATATGATGCCTTTTTCTGACATAAAGTACATTTTAGCACTCCTATACATAAGGTAAATACATAAATCTTTAAAAAAATGTGTTTAAAAAACTTTGAAATCTCTTCTAACAATCCCTCTACTCTGTGTATGTGCATGTGTGTGTGTGTGCATGTAAGAAGGAGCCCAGGCTACAAAGGCAAGGCATGTGTAAGTTTTGACCAATAGTCCTATTATGTTTCAGGAAACACTGGTACCAACTATCACACTTATAAATGAAGAATTCCTCATTTGAATTTTTCAACTCTTGCCACAGGCACAGAGCAAGTACAAGCCATGCTATGCTGTATCCTTATTCCCCATGTGTGGAAACTGGGATTGACAATAATTACTATTGCTTTGGAGAATTTATTATATAGAAATAAGTAAGTATAAAGTCAGGGGCAGGGACAGTAAGACAGATGCTTTGTCTTAACAGACTTTGTAATTTCATGGAGAAGATACATCACCTGAATAATCAATTTGGGCTGTGAAAATTGTCTGAAGAATAAATAGTATTTTTTCAGTATCTACCCAGGGAGTCAAAGCCAGTTTGGTGGTTGAGAGTAATGTAACCTCTTATTGTGAAATGGTCACTGTCTCCCACAAGTCCCTTTCCTAGCCCAATGCGCAACCATGGTGGTTGCTCAAAAATGTTGCATAACCTACTGTGGTTAGTTAGAATTAGTTTCCAGGTAGCAGCCTTCCTTGTCCTGTGTCTCCTGACAGATGACATTTTCAAGAGAGCGGTTTAGAAAGTCTAGACCTTCATTTAGCCTCAGCACCAAGGGAAAGGTAACCTTTCTCCTCAATCCCTTCCTCCCCGTGTGTGTTGCCTTCCAAAATGCATAAAGATGTTCTACAACTCAGTGACGAGAGAGTTCTAGTCTAAGGCTGTCATTCCTACTCTTATAAAAGAGTAGATTACATCACTGCACTGACAGGTATGTTGTACCGGTGTGTACATTCTGACCCTTCGATGAGACACTGCTTCCTTCCTTAGACAGCAGCCTCCATGGGAACCTGAGTCTCTCCACCATGTTGTCACATGGTCTGTACACTATAAGGCAACAGCCACTCCAGGAGTTGTGTGCTAATTACAGTTGCTAGATAAAACACAAGCTCAGGGAATTTTGGTTTTCAGAAAAAAAAAAAAACAACAAAAAACGACAAATAGTTTTGTATGTTTGCTCACGAATTATTTGAGATCCAAATGTAATTGGGCATTTCGTATTTTTATTTGTTCAACTTGGCAACTTTAAAATTAACGAGTCCAGGACAATGTGAAATAATTAAAATGAAGACAATGTTATCGATAGTGTGGGGACTGAGCAGAGGTGTATGTAGTCAGTGTCAGATTAAGGGCTATGGCTCAGATCCTTTACGGCCACTCAGGACTTAGCTATTTCCTGATGTCCACACCTCCAAAATCCCCTTTTTACTGAATTCATATGTGTTCAAACTGATGTGGTTAGTCCTGCCTCTCTGTTTTGTCCAATTGCCTGAAAGTTCTCTATAGAAGAACCACTGCCAGGCATTGGTGGCACACACCTTTAATCCCAGCACTTGTGAGGCAGAGGCAGGCGGATCTCTGTGAGTTCGAGGCCAGCCTGATCTACAGAGTGAGTTCCAAGACAGGCTCCAAAACAATACAGAGAAACCCTGTCTCGAAAAATGAAGAAGAAGAAGAAGAAGAAGAAGAAGAAGAAGAAGAAGAAGAAGAAGAAGAAGAAGAAGAAGAAGAAGAAGAAGAAGAAGAAGAAGAAGCAAACCAATTATCTTTACCTCACTTTCATTGCAGCACAACACATTGGAGAGGGTATAGAACTGGGGGTCTAGGTCAGCGGTGGCAGGAGCTGGATTGAACAATGTTTTCACTGCAAAGGAATGGGGAAGGGAATCAACAGTTATCACTTAAAAATATTAATTTAATATTTCTATGTATCCTTAAGATTAGATGTAAAGTAATGGGTTTTAGTATAGTGTTTTCATACTATTTATGTGTAGACATTAAGTGAGAGAAATCTGCCATCATTTTGCACTCACCAGATTAAACATCTATTAAACCATAGATACAGAAAAGGTATCTCAGTCTCAATGACAGCCTAGCACCAGTTCTTATTTCCATTTCCTCTGGCTTTCACTTTATCACTTCAGCTTCATGGGTGAGCATCATATTTACAACTAACATGATCGCATAGTTCAGGCGAGGACAACAAGAACATTAAAGTGAAAGTTTGGCATGAAAGGACATGCATGAATGCAGATGGAAAGGTGGACATTTCTGTAGTTAATCTAAGTACTTATCTGTAGGGATACCCTACCCATGCCTACTTGGGGCTGGTTACAGGTAATGCTAGCCACGCCTGCTTGGGTGTGGTCAGGGGGATGTGAGGAAGGTTTAAGAGTGAGGGACATGAACATGGGCTCCCTTCTACTTACCTTGCTTCCTGCCGACCGACAAGGCTGATCTGAGTGAGTAGCAATTTCCTAAATAAACCACCTTTATATCTAGACCTGATTCCATATTGCCCTTCCACTTTACTTATCTGTGGGGATGGTCCATAAACTCATTTTTTTAAGGGAAGAAAAAAGTGATGACAAGAAAGAAATAGCAAAGAATTCAAAAGAATTCAAAGTTTTCCTAGTACTGACAGTAAGTAGGAAACTGAGGTATATTTTGTCATCCATGCCAATACACACACACACACACACACACACACACACACACACACACACACACACACACACACACACCACCTTCTGATCTTGGCTTCCAGGAGCTATCTGGCAACACAAGAAGATTGAGAAAGAGGGGAATTTCATTCACAGACTGAGTAGGATGGATGGGGATAGCAGAGCAAGAGAAGAGAGGATGTCACAGCCATTACCACAGTGACAGAAATGCTTTTCAGAGAAGAAAAGTGAGGCTTAGAGAGGAGGCCAGATGCAGTGAATACACTTGGACATGGTTAGGATGGGTCTGAACCTAAAATCCAAAGGATTTTAGGGTTTAATCCTCTTTAAAACAGCAACATATCTAGACCATGGCTCTATCCATTGCAACACATTCTTCCAATGCATAATATCTTACAACAGTTTTTGGTGTGAAATTCTGCCAATTCTCTCAAAGGCTTTAAAAATTCCATTTGTAAAAGCTCCCACTTTGTGACAGAACAAATAGATTGGCTGCTCTTCTTTTACCAAACTGGATCCATTGATTCATGTGGTAAATAATGCCACTGTCTAGTCCTAAGTAAAACCTCTTAGCCGCAGTTCTTAAAGACTGTTCTAGAACAATGGTTATGAATTTGGTCACACAACAGCAGAGCCTGCTCAGATGTAGGATTTCTAGGCTCCACTTTCAGTCCACTGAATCAGAATCTCTGAGGGTATGATCAGGGAATCCACACATTCACAAGTTCTCTAGGTGGCTTTCATATAGCTAGCTTGGCAGTGACACATCCCACTGTTCTGGGAAGATGCTAATCAGCTCATGGCTGAGGGAGATGGTACACCGTTGCAACCTTGTGAGCGTGTCTAGTCTGCTTCTGTACTTCCTAGGTCTTACCTAACAGTTGGGTCAGTGGTCTTGGCTAGTATAGGCTAACAGTATTGCCACATTTTTGCTATTTTAGACTTTTCAATGTCCCCCCACATAAATTATGCTTTTTCTCCCCTCAGATTTTTGTACAGGACAATTGGGTAGCTTAAATTAGAAAATGCATGTAAAACCCCATGTAAACTATAAAGTGTTGTCCAAATATAAAGGATTATTACTGTTATTATACTGTCCTTTGCAAACAGCAGACACCCCCGCCTGTCCACCCCTCTTCCTTCTGCTCGAGTGTGGAGCCCACCACCAACCTCCCAGTGGTTTCTCATGTCTTTCAGGGTTTAGAGATTCCCATTTTACAAGAAAGTGCTCTGTGCCCAGCTTTCAAATGTAGTCGGGCTTTAGGTTTCCAAATAGCATTGGGGTATTCTGAATAAGAATGGCCCCTGTAGGGGGAAATGCTGACCATGCCCTCTTGGGGGCTGGTCACATACTTGGGTGTGGTCAGAGTGACGTTGCAAGGCTTTAAATATCAGGTACGCAAGCATGAGGCTCTCTTTTCTCTCTCCCACCTGGCTGAACAGGACTGGCTCAGTTGCATGAGTACTTCCTAATAAACCATCTGTTTTCAAACGAGTTCTGACTCCTTGTGATCCAGTTAAGCTGGTGTCAGAAGTAGTTTTGATTCTGGACCCACGGGTGGGTCGTGACCTTTGGCAGGATTTATTCCCCTGCCTCATCGGCGCCTGGGCAGCCTTTCATCTTTCCCTCCCAACCCCCTTTCCCAGAAATGCTCATGGCACTAGTTGCCACAGAGTCTCTCCGGCACTGTTTGTGCTGAGAGGAGCCTGCCTTGGCTGTAGCCGCCTGGGAGTTTCATTCCTCCCAGGTCAGTCTCCCAGTACAAGAGTGGTTCTTATGTTTGAATATTTGGTTCCCAGTTGATGGAACTGTTTGGGAAGGATTAGGAGGTGTGGCACTGTTGGAGGGTGTGGGCTTTGAAGTTTCAAAAGCTTTGCCACTCCCAGTTAGCTCTCTCTGCCCAGTACCTGTGAGTGAGTAAGATGTGAGCTCTCAGCTATTGCTCCAGAACCATTCCTGCCTGTCTGCTGTTATGCTCTCTGCATTGATGGCAACAGACTCTAACCTCCTGAAACTGTAAGCCCCAAATAAACTCTTTCCTTTATAAATTGCTGCCTTAGTGTTCTATTGCTGTTCTATTGTGTCATGACCATGACAGCTTTTATAAAGTAAAGCCTTTAGTTGGGGTTTGCTTGCAGTTTCAGAGGTTTAGTCCATTGTTATCATGGTGAGTATGATGCCATGCAGGCAGACATTGTTCTGGAGAAATAGTTGAGAGTTCTTCATTCAGATCTACAGGCAACAGGAAGAGAGAGCCACTGGTCCTGGCTTGGGCTTCAAAAACCTCAAAGTTCACCCTCAGTGATACACTTCCTCCAACAAGGCTGTGTCTCCTAATCCTTTCAAGTAGCGACACTTCCCTAATGACTAACTAAACATTAAAAAAATCTATGAATCTATGGGGCCATTCTCTTTTAAACCACCACAGTTGCTTTGGTCATAGTATCTTATCACAGCAATAGAAAAGCAATTAATACAAGCATACTGTTCTTGATTTTCCTTAAGCATTAAATTGAATGCCATTGCTCAGCTCCCATCATCCCCAAGCTTGCATCCTGAAGCGTTTGTTCACAGGTGCTGTATCAAGCCACAGTAGCAAAGATGCAGAATGAAGCCATTCTCAGAGAAGTTCCTTTTGGTTCCTCCAAAGATACAGGACCTAGCAATGCCTTGTGCGTGCTCCTCTTATAGAAAGTGACAGGCACAAGTGTGAAGTACGGTGATGCTCATGCTTATGGGAGAAAAACAAAGGGAATTCTACACATCTCTCCGAGGAGCTGGCTTTACAAAAAGCGGACTGGCTGGTCTAAGTAGATTCGCTGGTCCTCTTTTTCCTTGGTTACCCGATAAATACTCTAAAGCTGCTAAAATGAATGAAGTCATCTATGCTTTGTCAGAGGAATATTTCTTTTTTTTAATTTTTCATTATGTATACAACATTCTGCTTCCATGTATCCCTGCAGGCCAGAAGAGGGCACCAGATCTCATAACGGATGGTTGCGAGCCACCATGTGGTTGCTGGGAATTGAACTCAGGACCTCTGGAAGAGCAGTCAGTGCTCGTACCCTCTGAGCCATCTCTCCAGCCTCCCCCGCCCCAGAGGAATATTTCTATGCTTTATAACCAAAAAGAAGGCAGTCTTGTGCCATTCCTTCCTTCTAAAATAAAAGAAAACATAACTATAGCTGGGCGTTGGTGGCGCAGGCCTTTAATCCCAGCACTCGGGAAGCAGAGGCAGGCGGATCTCTGTGAGTTCAAGGCCAGCCTGGTCTCCAGAGAGAGTGCCAGGACAGGCTCCAAAGCTACACAGAGAAACCCTGTCTCGAAAAACCAAATAAAAAAAAAACATAACTATATGTGTATATGCTTGTTCACAAGAGAAAAATTCTGAGCAGTTACTCACTAAACTCATAAATGAATAGTTGTAAAGACTGGTGGGAATAGTCTGACTGTAGATTCAGTGTTGTACTTTAGGAAAAGACCTCATTCTTTGGACATTCATTGTATTATTGTATTCTTCTAATGAAGAAATGATATTTGGTTTTGTAGTGAGGGACAATGGAGAATAAGTTGAGATACAAATGATATGCCATCAACAAGGTCTCAACAATCGTGGAAGCTAAAAGATGGCATTATGTGGATTTACCAGGCTATTCTCTATGTCTTACTGTATTTGAAATTTTCTATAATGAGAACAGATGTTAAAGAAAATTACATTATGTTTTAGGCATCAATGGCTGGAATGAGGAGCTCTATAAATTAATTACTATAAATATAGCATAAAATCAAGCAAATCTTATTTGCCTATATTTCCCTGGGGAACATAATTCTTTCCAACTGACACAGGTTATGTAATTGTGGTGTCTGATGTGTGGTTTATAGTATCTCAGCTTAGGGCAGAAGTGAAAATACTACAAAGAAATCACTCTTCTTGGCTTCTCCTGCTATAAATAAACAAAATCCTTAACCAGGATGAAGAAGCATGAGAAAAATAGTAGACACAGGTAGTTAAAGAGAGGTGCAAATTTATAACACCCAAGATGGAAAAGATGATGTCATCCTGGGACCAGGCAAAACCAGAGAATGACTTGGAGCTGCAGAGAGGGTGACAGGACACAACAGTAATTATCACTCATTACAGAGGAAGATACACCGAACTCCTGGTCATCTTAACCACAC